ATGAGTGGAGATATCAAGCAGTGGTTCAGATTTTCAGATGAATAGCAATGAATGTTGTCCATATGTCTGTGGATCTTAAAGATCTTGATAGTATCTAGACCTGATGGATTGTTATGATAAAGAGATGCACAGACCTCTGAAATAACACAGAATATGCTCACCTAGGCTGTCGATTGGTCATTTCAACGAACATCACTTTCCCTGTACCAAGTATGGTAATAAGAGTGGGAGAAACAGAGAAGAATCTAATACATCCATGCCCACAGCTACTTGGCTTCTAACAGCGAAAGTCAACGTGAAAACAGACAGCAATTAACACAGTAGAAGAAGGTATTGCTAGGTGCAATGATATCACAGACAAGGGGTATACATTTTGCTGAATATAAGAAGCTGGAGCTAGAAGAGGTATTCCTCAGGAAGAGAAAAGGAGAAAGATCAGTCTAGAAGACAGTCCGGACGGAGAGGATCCCTACAAAGGCATGCACAGCAAGGTGGCCACTGCATCATACTATGTCAGAAGGCAGCCAAAAGAAACGAGGCTGTGGCAGGCAGATCAACCACGTAAGAGAATATACGGTTGCACAAAAGGCTTTATACACGATTCCTCAGACAACAGGGACACAGACACCGTACAAGTATTTAGCCACGGAGTGACTTCTAGATTATCTCTGGCAGTAGCACAGAATTTAACAGAAAGAAAAAAGAGCCTGAAGTTCCAGAGAATCATTAGGGCCATGAACTTTGTCATTACGTTTGACCGCTAGATTATTATGTTCTCCGGGACACTGCGATATGAGAAGAGCAACATGTAATGTTTTTATCTTGCCGTGCTGATAATGTGGAGAATGAACAAGCTATGTATTTGTGAACAGTGGGCACAGAGTTAGGAGGCTAGATTAGTCAGAGTCTGCAGGCATTTCCTGTCCAGTTCACCCTTGGGCTCAAGGCCAGTTCTGCCAGGCTTGCTGAGGTTCATCCATTCCATAGACTCTAAAATTAGGGAGGGAAACCCTATATCACGTCTCCCTTTTGAGGGCTATTCCTCTACTGCGTGCTGGTTTTCCTAAATCTAAGCCTGCCTTTCAAACTGAATTTGTCTCTTCATCTATCCTCCAAAACAGTCCCCTCCAAGAGTACTTTTAATAACACAGACTGAACATTCCTAATTCAAAATCCTAAGTCAGGAAGGTCCCAAAGTTACAAGCTTTGAGAACTGACAGGATAAGTGAAAAATTCCATAGTTGGCCTCAAATGTCAGTCACAGGCACAACAGCAAACATGTAAAATTGCCATCATGGGACTCAAGGGTAGCGCACATGCTGAGCACATGTGAAGCCCTGAATTCAAGCCTTAGCACCTACAATAAAATAAAAAAGAATTTACCATGGTGTTTAGGTATATATGAAATATAAATGTTATACATAAAATATATAAAATAGTATATACTCAAGGTATATATGAAAATAAATGGATCTCATCCTCAAGCCACCTTATGTATCTGCATCTAAATATATGCAAATATTATAAAATAAAAGCAAATGTAAACAGAGACTGCTTGTTCATTTCCCGACTGCTCAAACCTGAATAATTACACAGAAACAACACTGTTTGGCCAATGGCTTAGGCATCTTTCTAGCTTATATCTTAAATTAACCCGTTTCTATTAATCTATATATCACCATGAGGCTGTGTCCTACCGGTAAGGTTCCTGCGTCTTTCTCTTTCAGCAGCCGCATGGTGTTTGTCCAACTCCACCTTCTTTCTCCCTGCATTCAGTTTAGTTTTCCCACCTAGTTCTACTCTGCCCTGCCATAGGCCAAAGAAGTTCTTTATTAACCAATGGTAATAAAACATTGTCACAGCATACAAAGGGGAATCCCACCTCAAGCAAATCTGAAATACTTGTTTCAAGCATTTCAGATAAGGAATACTCAACCTGTAATAGCAAAGTACTCTCCATGGATCAGACATCAGGCTAATTTCTCAGTGTGTATGAAATGATTAGATTCTCACACAAGCCCTCTGAGAGGAATACTATTAATAACTTACATTTTTCAGAAGAACAAACCACAGCTTCCCAAGATCCTATACAGGAGCAACACGGCAGACTGAACTCAAGGACTGCATGCATATAATATTTAAATATTTAAGCTTGCATGTGTACGTGTGTGGAGGTCAGTTCTTTCTTTCTACCGTGTGAACTCTGGAGACGAAACTCACATTATCAAGCTTGGCAGCAAATGCCTTTATCCACTGCGTCATCTCACTGGCCTTGGAGTTGATAGTTTTAACCATTCACCATGGTTTAGAGTACTTGCTATGCATCTAGAGGACCTGAGTCTGGCTCCGAGCACCCATATCAGTCAGCTCACAACTTCTTATCACTCTGGCCTCTACGGGTACCTGCACACATGTGACAAGTTTTCTCTCTCCCCCTCATTAACTATCTAAATAAGGCATGCTCATAAAGAACCTGCTGTGCATCCCACCAGCTGTGCTAGTCAGCCTTCCTTTATTATAACAATTATAACAATACTTCAGATGAATCAGCTTCCAGTTGACTCAGAGTTTTAAAGTTTCTGGTGTGGTCCATGATGGGTTGGACTCTGCTTTGGGGCCTCTGTAAGATGGAGCAGAGCTTTCACCTCATCACGACTAGGTACTTTGTTTTTCAAGACAGGGTCTCTGTGTAGCCCTGGCTGTCCTGGAACTCACTCTGTAGACCAGGCTAGCCTCACACTGACAGAGATCCTCCTGCTTCTGCGTGCAGAGTGCTGGGATTAAAGTTGTGCGCCACTATAACTCAACTCACCTCATCACATCAAGGAAGCAAAAGAGGGGAAACGAAGAAGTCAGAGCCCCACAGTTTATTCTCCTCAGGGGTACCCCATCCCAGTAACCTAGAGATTGTTCATCAGTCTCCATGTCTTACAGGTTGCACCATCTCTGAGCAGCCCCCAATCCATGGGCTCCAGGAAAACGTTTAAGATCCAAGCAACAGCACCCTTGCACCCTGCTTTTGAGCTTTTACATACCTTGTACTGGTTTAATAATCCTCAAAACATATTTGGAACTTTGACAGTTCAGTTGATATTTTCATAGTCTTACCAGAGCTCCACCTCATACTTACTATCCTTCTAAAGGATTTCTTCAGGATGTAAAACTTACCAGGAATTAGCTCATTAAAACTTCTTCCCTTCAATACTGAATACTAAAATGAATCTTTTCTACCAGGTCAGCAATAACAGCAAATCTAATATAAGACCTTTATTGACTTAAAAGCAAATCTGATTACATTAATCTTTTTATTTTTGTCTTGTGTTTAGGTCATAGGTCACCAGTCCTTTTTGTGAGAGAGAACTACTTTTCATATTCTCCAAAGCTTTTAAGGAGATTAGACTAGAAACAGAAAGTGATGTTTTTAAAAAGTCAGTTTACCATATAAAGATCAGGACCTACTTACTGGACAAATGAAGGACCCCTGGCCTTATCTAACCATAGATATTTTCTGTTATCTTTCTTCTTTTTGAATCTAAGCTTTATTTCTAGGAATGATTATTTACAAAAAAAATAGTTGATTCTCAGCACACTATGGTTTTGAAACGTGAGTTATGAACCTCTGGTGCAATTTTTTTCTTCACAACTGAAAAAATTAATATGAATGACACAGAATGGAAAACTTTAGCAGAAGAGTTAGTAGATAATATAACAAATATTCTAAAGTGAGAGGCCCGGGAAGAAGTAAGGAATAATCTCAAAATCTCGTGTTTTCCTTCAAAAGCAAACGCACTGGCTACTTTATGAGGGCAGATTTTTCTTAAGCCTTCTAAAAGGCAGTGGACCCTTTCCTGGCCCCTGAAAGCTTTCTGTCTTTTGTATACCGAACACCTAATACTGAAAATGTGTTGAAGGAACACGTTCACTTCAGCAATTGCTCACCTCTCCCAATTGAACTTCGTGTGAGAAAAGAAAAAAAAAAAACACACAAGTCCGGAGTGTGCCTGGAAAATAGGAACTTTGCAATCCCTTCTATTATCTGAGCTCCTATAACACCAAGCAAATCCTGTTTCAAAACTGTGGGCAGCATTATGATGGAAAGCAACCTGTGGATTGATTGCTAGCACCGTCTCCCAAGAGCTGTGTCGTTTTGTGACATACCCAAAAGTTCTGGTAGCATGTTTAGGAAAGGGAATTTATCCCTGATTCTCAGAAAACCTCGCGGCCCTTTCCCTCTGCACATCGGAGGAGGGTGGCCTCCTGGTAGGTGATACTCCCCAGCTTTCTACGTGTAAGGCACTTTTGTACCCTGCCTTGCAGCCATGCTTGAGCTGATTACAGAAACTTCCAGCTCTGTCTGTAGAGCTGAGTAAAAAGCACCGTGGAAGGCTAGGCAGGGTCCCTAAAGCCAGGAGAACCTGCAGCTGGCCAGAGGCAACATTAGAGTTCTCCACTGCAGACCACGAAGAGCGCTGCACCGCGGGCTCCGGGAAGGACGCGCTGGGCGAAGCTGCAGGGCGCGCGAGCGGTCGGACGGGGGAGCGAGAGCCAAAGCTTGCGGAGAGCAGCCGAGCGGGCACCGCAGTCCCGGGAGCCGCCTCGAAGAGCGGCTGAGCTCCTAGCTAGAGAAATGTGCGGAAGGCGGAGCGAGGGAGGCGGGGCCCGCGGGAGCTGTGGCCGGGGAGGCGGGGCTAGAGGGAGGGAGGCGGAGCTAGAAGAAGGCGTGGTTATATGGGGGCGGGACGTGTGGAAGATTGAACCTACTCGAAGGTAGGCGGAGCTAGTGGTGGAGCCCGAGCTCCAGGGAGGTGAAGCCTGCGCTCCAGAGAGGTGGAGCTAGAGGCGTGGAGGTGGAATCCGAGCCAAAGAGGAGAGGTCCGAGGTGGGGAGGCGGAGCCTGTGCCCCACGGAGGCGGAGTCCTCGGTGGGAGGCGGGCACGGAGGCGGTGCCGGGGCGGGCTGCGCAGGCGTCCCTTGCACCTTGTTGATTAGTCAGTGCCGGGAGCGCTGCTATGGCGTTCCTCGGACCCGCGGCTCCTCCTCACACAGTGCTCGGGGCGGAGGCTAGGAGGGGGCCGAGGAGGAGGAGGCGGGCGGCCGGCCGCCGCAGCTGCAGAGCCGGGGCCAGGGGAGGCGGAGCGGGAGGCGCCGCAGCCAGCCGGACCGCCTGCAGTGCTCCCCTGGCTTGAGGGCGCGGGACGCCAGCCATGCCTCGGTGTGGCCGCTGAACCCGGGCGCCGGCGTCCCCGCCGCTGTGCCTCGCTGCCAGGCTGCCCGCGGCGGGAGAGCGAAGCCGCCCGCCAGCCAGCGGTGGAGCGGGAGAGGGAGCGCGGGGCCGGGGAGGCGGGGAAGATGGACCCGGTGCCCTCGTTGGGCTGCAGCCTCAAGGATGTGAAGTGGAGCCCAGTGGCTGTGCCGCTCGACCTGCTGGTCAGCACCTACCGGCTACCCCAGATCGCGCGGCTGGACAGCGGTGAGTACCGGCGGGGCGCGCGGGTGCCAGGAAGGGTGGGACCGGGGAGGGGATAGTGTTCGCCCCTAGCCGTCTACTTGGCCTGCGAGGCTGCCGCAGCCCTGGCGCGTTGCTCTTCATTCCCCCCAGCAGCCGCCGCCGCCAGAGAGGTGCAAATCAGAACCCTTGTAGTGCAGTCAATAAGGGCACCTTAAAAAAAAAAAATCAACATCGTGGAAACCTGCAGATAGTAACCTTGGACTCAAGAATTACTCAATCTGGGAACCCTGAAGTTTTCTTAGGCAACTTTCTGACAAAAATAATTGGGCTCTGGGTGGTATCTTGTTTGGGGTGCTCTCTCCAACTGGCCCGCTCTATGTCTGCCAAGAAGCTGCAGAAAAGCTCCCGGGTGACCCAATGAAAACGATCACGTTTCTTGGAGAGCTTTTATTACAGCTCGTCTATTCTGTTTAACACAACATCGAGTGATTTGGGGTTGTGTGCAAAAAATGTCTTTAGCAGAAGTGATGGTATGCTCACGGTTAATTATTAGCTTAGCGCGCTTCCAGCTTAGAAAAAAATATTTTAAGCCACTAAAACATATTGATTTGCAATCTGAGCTCTGAACCAAGAAATGCCTGTATTTCCTGAAACTGACCACAAGAAAACAGCCAAGAACACCCCCCCACACACACACACACAGATTATTCTGCACGGTGACATCTGCAAACAAATATGTAGATTGCTACTGTCAGTCAAGTGGACACCTTTATGTTTGAGAGTTGTGACATTGGAGGGGACATTTTAAATGGTGTCTGTTTTTTTGCACTGTAACTTCACCGGGTTGGCTTCTTGGGATTTCAGATTGTAGGGAGAAGTCTGCTTTGCTGTAGGGCAGCGGGACCCGGGCTGGCAGCAGGCAGTGTATAGATAGAGCCTTGGTCACAAGCAAGTCCGATTAAAACAGGTTTGAGCAGAAGATATCCTTTCTTTCAGCCACAGACGCTTGCCTTACTCCTTGCTTTCTAGAGTAAAAGAGTGTTTCACAGGAGACACACAGATGTCCCCGAGGACGACTTACTCTATTGCTTGTCTGTGGGGTTAGGTTAGACACTGGAAACACTGACAAGAGAATTAACATAGAGGAAAGTTGTAAGAGCAGGAGAACAACATTGGTATGCTTGCTGTCCTTGTCTGGTTGGTGGTGGTGGTTGTGGTGGGCACTGGGAATAACCTGGGAGTTTATAAACTAAGAATGAAGTGTACAATGATAATAACTGTTGAATCGAGGTGAGGACAGATGGCATATTGAGGCATTTCTGCTTAGCATGGGGGTGGCGAAGTGTGTTGTGCTTTAATATGTATCTGCAGGTGTGTGTATGGTGTGTGTGTGTGTGTGTATGTGTGTGTTTGTGCGTGTGCGTGCACAGTTTCTTTTCCTCCTTCCCTGAGCAAAACTGTATGTTTTGGCAGGTTGTGAATCTTTACCTTTCCATTTCCAGACCTTCCCTCATCGCTGCAAACTCTGCCAAAACTTCCTAGCTAGGCAAGAGAGCATTGGTGCATATAGTATGCAAATCACTCAGCCGTCCTCCAAGTCAAAGTGCAAAGAGGCTGTGTATGAGCCTCAGACACAACTCTTAGTCTCATTATCCACTTTCCTATCCCTGTCATTCATTAAAAGGAGCTGAATCAGCACTGAGCTCACCCCACACTTCTTTTCAAATTAGGATGTGGGCTGCAAGTCTTAACACTGTGTCCTTTCAAGCCTTGGGATGGATTTTGATTACCATGTGTAATTCCAGTTCTTTATTGTAAATTCCTCTTGTGATTTCTGCACACCAAAGTCATACTTGTAGCCAGTACTACTGTGTCCCTGGTTATTTATTAACAATGCCATCTCCTTTTTGTTAGCATAGATTTTAATAGCTGCATAATATTCGATGGGAATGGCTATAACATATATCTATCTGGTTCCCTATTGGTGGACATTAAATTGTGTTTATATCTACTCCCTCGTTGTTGGACCTAAAGTTGCTGTTTCTTCTTCTTCTTCTCCTTCTTCTTCTTCTACTTCTCCCTCTTTAATACTTGTAAATCCTGAGATAATAAGCATTCCTATACATCGGCTTCTTTTGGGGGTGAGAATGTATTCCTACCTTGCTGAAAGCACATGCGAATCCCTTTAAAACTGTGATACACTTGCCGTTGCTCTCAAGACCAAGGGTTACTCATGCAAACAGGCATTGTGGGAATACCACTGGCCCATATCCTTACTATGGTAGTTTACTCTTTGTTTACTTCTTAAATCTTTGCTAATCTGATGGGATGGGGGACAATTATTTTAACAATTTAATTTGGGTAGACTTTAAAAGAGCCAAATTATAGATTCTTTACATTAACAAGTTTCACTGCAGTACTGAGGACAGGTTAAGGGCTTTGCTAGCATAGTTTAAAATGCCCCTGGTAAACTCACAGGCTTTGTAGAGTCCTAATCTGGTGTGTATTTTTTTACCCAGTTTTAATGCTACGGGAATATTTTAGACACACACGAACACACAAACATCTGCTTAGACAGGAAAAGTAGTAATTTTTACAAATCATTTGCTTTAAAAGAAACCAGAAAGAAATGGAAAAGACATGCCACAAGTTGACATTATGCCAAGAGGAAGATAGGGGCCACCTTTAAGCTGTCGTGAAAGAACGCTGGAAGTTGGAGTTGGTCAGTGTTGATCATCAGAGCCTGCTGTATGTAGGCGTGTTTCCACATGTTGCACGCATTGTTTCTGCTCCTCAGCAGCCCTGCTTTAAGGATTTAGGGGGCCTGGACGCAGAGAACTTGAGCAATGAAATTCAGAATGAGCAGTGGGGTTTCCAGCAGCTTCTGTGCTGCCCCTTATCACAGGCTCCTGCGGAGAGGCAGTGGGATGGGGCGGGTCTGACTTCTGCTCTAAATAGCCTCACTGTGTCTGAAAGCTTGAGGACCAGACCAGAAAGTCAGTTTTTAAAGTGGTGTAGGCACCGAAGTAAGTGCTGGAGTCATCCATCGTAAGTAGATGACTTTCTGCTTCCCAAAGGAGTGGCTGAGAAGGGAAGAAGGGAGGTTATAGAAGGAGAGAGAGGGAAGGTGAGGGAAACAAGTGGTGTTTGGGGCTTGTATTTGTATCTGTTCAAATAGCTTCCTTGTACATTTACTATTTAAAAAGTAGTAACTCTACAATATGTAAAGAATTTTCCAATTCTTTGCCCGAGACAGGTCAGTTAGATGCATTCAACTTGATATGTTCAACGATGGAATTTTTTTTTTTTTGTTGGTTGTTTTTGTGTGTGTGTGTGTTTGTCTTTGTTTTTGATTTTTGTGATAGGGTTTTTCTGTAGATTTGCTGCCTATCCTGGAACTAGCTCTTGTAGACCAGGCTGGCCTTCAACTCAGAGATCCGCCTGCTGGGATTAAAGGTGTGTGCCACTACCGCCCGGCTCAATGATGGAAATTTTAAATTTCATTTATTTGTTTGTGTGTGTGTGTGTGTGTGTGTGTTTGCACATGCATGCCACAGTGCATATGTGATGGTCAGAGGAAAATTCGTGGGAGTCAATTTTCTCTTTCCACGACGTGGGGGATGGAACTCAGGTCATCAGACTTGGCAGCAAGTGCCTTTACCTACTGAACCATCTTGCTAGCTCTCCTGTGAAGAAATTTGTCTTTGAGTGGTAAATACAATTGGTGAGACTTCCTGGGTCTTCCCCCCCCCCCCCCACAAGTCTTTTTGGGGAACCCAAAAGAAAAGCCTGTATAGTGGTTCTCCCTGGGAGAGTTGATAGGATGGCTGCACTCAGCGCGGCCGACCCCAGGTATTGATTAGCTCACTGTTAGGTATTCTAAATGGTTGTAGTCTTGTAAATTCTTTGTAGGATCAGGGTCCACAAATTCATTCAGAGCCAGAAATATTAACTCTTACTCCATTCCAGCAGTCCATGCCTAAAACCGGGACTGAAGAAGCTGCCCATTTTGCAGCTTCATCTTGCAGAAGTCCTAGCTCAGAGTTTCCTTTTCTCCCCTTTCTGTCCCTCCATCCTTCCTCCCCCTTTTTCCATTCCTTCCTTTCTCCCTTGCTTCCCCTCTCTCTCTTCCTTAAAGACTGTATGAACTCCTGTGCCCTAAGCACATTTTAAACTTGTTCTTTAAAAGTTTTCATCTTTGCTTGCAATGCAAAGAATGCTTTGTATTTTATAATATTCACATTTTAAGAAACATAGTTATTTCAAAAGCTCTAGTAAAATCTTTATTTGATTCCCAATATTTCATATTTTTTATCACATTTGTTTTGTGTGTACATGTGTATGTGTGTGTATGCTTGTCCCCTGATGTGAGTGTGGAGGTCAGAGGACAGCCTGTAGGCATTGCTTCTCTCCCTCTACCTGGTAGGCCCCAGGGATCAGGCTTGGCAGCAGGTACCTGTTCCCATAGAGCCAATGGCTTTATTGATCACTTCTGTGACAAGTTCTGAAACAGAAAGAGTAAATTTAAATATAGAATTTTGTACTTTTTTAACCATAACACTTCAGAATTTGAAGGTTTCCAGATGTCAATAAAATAAAATGAGACAGTGTTATTCTGTGATGGGGCATGCGTGGTGTGTGTGTAGAGGTCAGAGGACAGCCATGTGTTATGGGATTTCTCCCTTCATACTTCTTTATGTCAGCTCTCGGGCTTGAACTCAGAGCATCAGGCTTTTGTGCCAAGCACCTTTACCCATCAGAGCGTTTAGTAAAGAAAGGATTAGAGCTGGGCCTATTGTTTAGTGATAGAGTGCTTACCTGGCACGCAAGAGGCCCTGGGCTCATTCCCGAGACACCCCTCCCAGCATAGACAGAATTTCTTGAGGTAGAAAAATTATCACTCAGATATTGGAGACTTTCACCCCTCATTATGCACCAGTATTTCTGTTGTCTCCTTTGCTTATCCTCTTGCGATCTTTGTACCCCTGGCCAGTGTATTTGAGAAAGATCTGGGAGAAAAC